TCACCAAAGTGTTGGTTCAATGTCTGAACCGTCTCAGAAAATGAACGATCTAGTGGGTCCAAAGGCAGGATCAAATTGCAGTACTTGTCCAGCCCACTTGCACCCAAACCTTCTCAGCATCATCTTGATTGGTGAAATCAAATTTAAATAACTCTCCATACCACCGGAACCACATGTTAAAAGTAACGTTGGCATCGGGATCATAATGAAATTCAGCGATGCTATTTACGATTCCGTGGACTGACGGTGCTGTAGTTGTATTAGAAGAGTTGGGCTGTGTGGAAGGGGAGATCTTTATATCTGTCGACATCTGCATCAGTTTCAGCTGCTACTCAAGTAATAATTCAAGTTTGGCAGGATACATGTTTCCAAAACTACCGTCGCCAGTTGTTATGCTCGTCAATTTATATGCTTGAAACTATTACGGGTTCACCTCAGTCGATAAACGAGAACGAGACAATGAACCAGTGACATGTTATTCTACTCTGATCGGTTGCCCCAAAGAACTAACGAAGAAGTCTTGATATGGCGTAGAAAGTGTATTCTACAAACACCGAGCAAACACAATGATCTCAATCACACGAATCGCGTTTATTTATACATCATAGAAACGTCTTTGAGAGATTCAAAATATACCACACTAAAATAATACTGCAACCAATCACAGCCAAGGAATTTCCTGGTGGGAAATGTCATCTCAAGGCTAACTGATCAGCCAATGAATATAACCACAACCAAGGACATTGATACATCTTTTGTTTGTCTGTACTTGAAGCCATAATTCAGGTGCCAATCTCGCCAACCTCTCAAACCCTGTGGCTTTATTGGTCGTTTCGTGTGATTGCGTCCTCTAGCTGAAAACGTGATATGATTTTGACTTCCAATCAATAAATATCGTTATTCTATATTTGGCTTTCTGGTTAAAATTCGTTTGGGAGTTTTTACTTGGCAACCATCCCAACTACTACACAGTCAAATTCAGTGACTCTGTTTTTGAATGCAACTTCTGTAGTACATGGGTACATTGTCAATACGACACTACAGTACCTAAAGAGTACTATGGTCTCACTCTGAGTCAACCGAGCCGGTGGTTCTGGTATACCTGCCAACGGTGTAGATGATCTGAGGCATTGGTAAAGCCAGAGGCACCACCCCAAATCTACCCAAAAGTCACAACGGACAAACCGAAATCGTGCGGGACTAAACCAGTGAAACAAGCGATCAAGGCAACCAGAACCCTAACCAACACCGACAAAACTGCCGGTTGTTGTTGATCCTCCAGTATCTGTTAGCAACACAGAACAGTGGGTGAATATGAAGAAGGGGAGTAGCAACACCCCAACTCACAAGCGGCTACCACTCAAGAACAAGGACAATAGAATAAATTCACTTATTTTATTTAATGTCCCAGTATCGCAAGGAAGCTTGCTAAAAGGTTGCGCTGCTTTTGACAAACAGCAGTGGAATAAAGACTGCACAACCACTGGAATGTGCAAGATCCCAGCCAAAATATGCCGCCTTTTCAAAGGCCAGAATGTCTCGAAAGGAAAAACCCCTCCATAGAGGGTAGCTCTTGACTTGGCATGACTTGCTGAAGACATCATCCTCTCATTCCAAAGGCTATCGGTCAAACTGTTCTCGCCGATTCGCATCAGGCATGACAAGCCGTGGTCGGTACGAGCGGCAGCCAGGACTACACCAGGCACCCGAGAGCAGTACACCATGATAGTTCACTGCGAACCCGAACTCGCTGGCGGTAACCTGGATGAAGCTCACGTGCGCAATGTGCAGCAGTGGCGTAGCCTAGCCCATTCACACCACGATGGTTGTTTGCATTTCTAGGTTGCTCCACCCGTCACACCTGGGTCAACAACCCCTGGAACAAGACACGGTTGAACCCACTGCACCGGAGAAAAACTGGCAGAGGCCAGTTGCCACAGAACTGTTTAACTTGGTTTGAAGAACTTGTTTGAAAATCCGACAACGGCTGTTGCTGCAGAGGTGCGCCAGCTAATGAAACAAACCACCAAGTGCCTCTATAGTACAACTCTCACTGGTTTTGTTCCAAAGACGAATTGACGCAGCCATTAGAAGCTCTAGGCTTACTGAGCACGTATGCAGTGCCACTAGATGGACTAAGGAAGAAAAGTCCTCAAACCTGGATTATTTGTTAATAAATGATCAGCTCCAGGTCGAGGATGTTCAAGTCCATACACCAATAGGAAATAGTGACCATGGCAAAGTCTTGTTTAACATGGTCATAAACGAAACACTCACACGGGACGAAAATAAGCACTATCTTTGTTACACTGGGGCAAGTTATACGCGTATGAAAGACCCTCCTACATGCCCCATGGCCATGGAAAGTGGTGAAGGCTGATAGTAAACGATCACTGGCAAACAGTGAGAGACACCATCCAAAATGCTGTCGTAGACAATGTACCTTAGTCACACCAGGGAATAGAAGAACATGAGTTAGGCGCGGCACTGAAAGCTTACTACAGGCGAAAAGTAGAGCCTGGCACAAGTGGAAGGTCTCCTTGAAGGATTCTTATCGCAGTTCTCACTTGGCATTGAGAAACAGATGCAATACCAAAGTTCGAAGTGACAGAAGACGCTTTTAGATGAACCTAGCTGTCAAAATAGAGGCAAACCCGAAGCACCTGTATAGGTTCATGGCTAAAAGACAACCTACGAATCAGGGTTTGTGTTCTCTCAGAGGTTCGAATGGGGAAGACCTCAACAACCTAGAGATGGCCAAGATCTTCAACACAAACTTCACCGATCAGTTAAACCAGGCACCCACATGTACAGATTATAACGCAAACCCTTTGCCAGCTGACGGCTTAGAGAATATCCGTATTACTCCCGATTGAGTACTAAGGAAAGTCACCAGGTTGTGATAATATTCGCCCCATAGTCTTGAAACAATGTGCAGAAATCCTCTGTTCAACGATATGTGGCCCGTTCAGGCATTCACTGGAGTCACACCAACTACCATCTGATTGGAAAGAAGCTACTCCCTCCAATCTTCAAAGGAGGAGATAGGAAGGACCCAGCCTGTTACAGACCAGTCGCATTATTAACAATACTGTCAAAGTTAATGGAAGGGCTGGTGAACGAACAAATGCAGGAGTACATGAATAAGAAAAAATACTCCATGAAGCCACGGGTTTCGAAAACACTGGTCGTGAGCATCTAATCTTCTCATTGCATGGGACAGTTGGAAATCGTGCTTCGACCTAAAAATACTGGTCCACGTAATATTTCTAGACTGTGAAAACGTTTTCAACACAGTACCCTTCGCACGCCTAATTTTGAAGGTTGCGGAAATGGGCTTCGCTGACCCACTCCTATGTTGTCTCAACAGCTACCTTGAGAACACAGTTTCGCACCAAGGTAAATGGAGTGCAAGCAAGTTGGCTAGTCTCAACATCAGAAGTTTCACAGGGGACCACTTTAGGTCCACTTCTCTTCCTGATTTTTAATAACGACCTGTTAGTCACAGTTAGCTCGAAGGCATTGATCAGCTCAGACGATACAAAGATCTGGAGGTTCATTAGATACAAAAATGATTCGACTGAGCTACAAAATGACCTTGCATCCATTGAGGAATAGGAAGTGATAAACAGTTTAAGACTGAACTAGCCAAAGTATCACGTCATGTACATTCTGCCCCACATGACGCAAATGATTTACGCCCTCAAAGGAAGTCTGCTCCCTAATGTCTCCTCAGAGCACGATCTCGGTATAACAACCACAGAAAGCCTCCACATAAGCCCGAATTATATAAGGAACGAGGCCAGTGCAAATGCAACTCTTCACTTTATGCGAAGACAACTTGATGCTATCACCCCAGAATTATTCTTAACGTTGTTAAAGACATATGCATGCCTACACCTTGAAGTTCACAACGTCGCCGCACCCCCTCTCCTTAAAATAGACATAAGTCTCTTGGATCGAGTGCAGAGACGAGCAACGAAATCGGTGATAGTGTTGAAGAACAAACCTTACGAAAATGGACTCCTGAACTTGGGATTATTCCCTCTGAGTCCTAGGAGAATCAGAGGTGACCTGATTACGGTGTACAACATATTAGGCACACCAAACCATCCCAAAATGAGCATCTTACCGATGCATCACCGCCACCTCCTTTAAGGCATCAAAGAGCGAATACTCAGGTTCGTGCACACTTTTTCCCACTAATAGTCGTTACATCTTGGAATGCTCTCCCAGCGGAGGTGACCACCCCCCTCAGTGAACAGCTGTAAGAAGAAACTTGATAATCAAGTACTCACATACGGATTATCGTCTCCCTCGTGGTCAAGCTATGCCTGATTCATGTCTTGAGACTTGCTAGTTGTTATTATTGCCATGGCCCAGATCACAAACTTAATCTCTCTCCTGTCTCTGTTTCCTCTCCCTTGCTTACTTTTCGGCCCTCTTTCATAGTCTTCACTACCAATTATTAATCTAAATTACCTACTTATTTACTTAGGTCTGAAATCTTGTTAGCATTAGAATTTTCTCATTATTCTCAACATTGCAAGTAACTGATCTACGGTCTAGACTACCATCCATTGGAAACTACCAAATACCTGGAACCGTGCCGAAATAACAGGAGTCAAGCGCAAAGAAGTCAATCGGTTTATACTAGCTCGTGAAAAAGATATTGGATATTCGATTCTGCTTAGCGAATTTGTGACTTCAAGGACGTCCTGAGTAGATGTTTTGTTTCGGCCGCTAGATTATTTTGACTTTACGTTTGTTCACTGGTAATTGTTGTTGCTCCTGAGAGTAAGTTAACCTTTATTGTGTGCTTAGAATAAATTTGGACCAAATTAACCACTTTTTGTCTCTTTCCTAGAGAACCGTACTGGCTAAGTGAACTACTACCGAGTTTACTCGCACTCCCTTTTCTCACAACATACACGAAGGTTAGACATAAACTTGTTTGTGTTTGGGGACTTTCTGAGCTGCTTGGATATCCTACCACAGTCATGTTCGTAGCTCTCTGGGTGTTAATTTTTGCATGTAATGATAACTTCATAATGCTTTGAGATCATAGGTTTGAATCTGAACGTATGTAACAGTTTGGATCCTGTCACATCACCTGCAACTTTTCAATTTGGTTCCAATGAATCAAGCATATTACTACAAAGCTACATAAATGTGACTTTATCTTACTCTGAGGTTAGAATACAGTTTTGCTTACTCATATTTGATTTCAAAAAACTTTTTAACCGTCTCGTCAGTGAACGATCCTATTGAAACATTACTTTATAAGACTATGTTATCTATGCAATTGATAAAGTTTGGAGGGACATATCAGACCTGGTAAGAAGACAGCTAGTATCTGAATATGTATAAAGTAATATTCAAAGTGAAGGCGAAATTTCATATGCATCTTTGACCAACAAAACAATGATATGCAATATTTCTTAGCTTCAAAACTAGTCGACTTATGGTCTTAGCATAGTTGCTACATATATTGTGCATACTATTTAGACATGTTCTATGCGTGTGAATGTAATATGATTTACTCAGGATCAAAATGTATGCTGATCTTTACCCGAAACTGCATAAGGCATAACTAGTAAGGAACTAATACATTCCAGCAATTCTTTACAGATTTGTGATAAAACGGGGAAATACGCCTATTACTAGTATAATTGATATACCACATTTGTTATTAAGTTTTTGTATCTGACTGACTGATTAAGCTTCGTTAGTTTCCGTCGCTTATATAACTTACAATTTAGCATCTTGACCACTGTACTGCAGCTCTCTACACTATTTAATAATAAAACGTTGACAGTCATTCTATCACTGTACTACAAGGCGAAAATTTCTGTCAACAGCCATCTGTATAGTTCGTAAATTTATTCTTAGTCATGTCTTTATGGAGCATTCTGACTAACTTTGTTTTCCTCTTTACGTCCTCACTGTATTAACTACGTCCTATTTCGATGTACACAGGCTAAAAACCAACCTATTATAATTTCAATAAATTCAACAAATGAAGAAGAATTCAATGTTTCCGGTTCTTTTGGAGAGGAGTTAGAAATTCTTCAACTAAGTTGGCTTCCAAATGGGTCGAACAAAACTTGGAACCTCACTTTTCAGTTCGTGAAATCTGACAGTAGTTACAACCTCAATGAAATTAAATTGGAATATCAACTGAGTAACTCATCAGGTTAGTCGTTTATATTTGCGATCCTTACTCTGAAAGTTACTAATTTTACTTGCCGTAGATAATTCCTTGTATTAGCTAATATTTCCCACATATTGTGTATCACCTCTAGAGATTTAGTACTTAGTACGAATTTGTTATTCGACGTTCCTATCATTCATTCCTATAAAGAGTAAAATAATCTGCTATGAAGTTGTGAAAATTTCACTAATACCTTTAATTTATATGAAGCTAGAAATTATCAACTATCCAAAAGTTACTTAGTTATTCTTACCACTCTTAATTAGTAGGTGTTGAAATACCATATACCTTCCTGATTGTAGACAAATGACAGATATGCCTATTCTGTTTTAATCTATTCAAAAGATTTCCTTGATACTATTTTTTTTAGCTTATTGCCGATCTCTAACTTAACAAATTTTGATTATTTTTGTTACTAGTTTTAAGAAATGCATCAAATAACCAATCACTATTTTCTGCCGCAGTTGGTTCATACTATTCTTGTCAAGCTGAACAGAATATATCGTTGGATCAGTCAGGACCAAGTCCTGTAACTGTTAATCTCACTTTATCTCAATTTAAAGTTCAAGCATTCAGAGATGGAGAGGAAACAGAGTTTACTGGTCTCAGTAAGTCTTACTTAATATGATATAAGTATGTTACTTATTGATGCAAAGATTTATTATGTACCGTTTTGGCACTTACAAATGATGGTCATTTGCTGTTTATTCGATTCACTATCTCTAACCACTACATTGAAATTATCTTTGTGATTAGATTAACTTATGTGCAACACAATTTACATGGTATATAAGCTATCAGTACCTATTTCAGCTACGGTTTGTAGTACACCATAATTTTCGTAAAATTATTATTTTATGTGAACCTAATAATCATGTATAACTTTGTTTGGCTTGTTGAATCTTTTCGTTTACTATTTGTACTTGGGAAAGTGATATCATCGGAGTAATCCAGTTTGTTTTTGATGACTATGATCACCAACTGATGTACTTACGTACGAAGTTCTACGTTGCAACCGACTGACTGACTGACTGACTGACTGTAGTAATCCTCAACCGAAAATTAGGCGAATATCACTAAAATTGTTAACAGCATTACAACTGTATTCCGCTTTATATAGGTTACTATCAGTTGTAGGGCCTTATCAAAGGGATTTTGACAGTCTTGATGAACACTGCCAAATATAACTAGTTCAAATGATAACCCATCTTAAGTTCATATCCAACTAATTAAATTCGAGTAATAAGCCTTTGGTAGGATGCAATATCTTGTCTAGGGTGTTGAACAAAACTGTTCAGCAGACATTCATTGTTGTGTTTGCTGGGATGAAGTGTCGAAAGCACCACTTAAGTGTCTCCAATTCGATTTCAAATTCATAAGGTTGGATGATTAAATATGGTTGTTTCAGTTCAGTTCAGTCAGTCAGTCAGTAAGTAAGTCAATTACAACATAGAACTTCGTACGCACATACATCATTTCAAAATGCCATACCACATTAGCACAGAGACGCAACTGCTGATTCAAATCCCATAGTAGCAGAGGTAGTAGAAGTATTAGCAGTAATCAAAAAGATTAATGATCGCATATATCATTCGAAATGTATACCCCAGAGAAATCGATAAAACAAAGAGAAAAAACGGTCATGAGGAATTCAGAAAATTAGAACTTGAGAGAGCATGAATAATGGATGCATCTGCGCAATTGCAAACAATTTTGAGCCATGTCGTTTAAAGTCTCTAACCATCGATTACTATGATTTCGCGGACCCTAACCAGGTAGTCTACACCTAGCAACATGATTCAATGCAGTTGTCAGTGACTTTATGGATTTGTGCCATGTTTTGGTTTGGCCGCTTCAGTTACCGCTAATACTTTCACTACCTCTATTACTACGGGATTTGAATTGACAATTAAATCTCTGTGCTAATGTGGTATGGCAACTTGGACGTATGAAGTTCTACATTGTTGTTGACCGATTAGTTTGGCCGCCCCTGGCTTTCTTCCAACCTACTCCTACTCCAAAAAACATAGCTCGACGAGGCAGTCGGTGGTTGGGCATACGCAACACATATCCCAACCACCCCAACTAATGAAATTTCCCTTCTTTATCAATCGATCTGCCATCCTTACTTAGTACCCGTTTCTTAACAAATGCATTGCAGTTAGCTATCATTAAATTGGACCTGAAACATATGAATGTCTGTCCAAGCTTCCACTGAGCGTTTGACTTTCTGTGGAGTATAAATAACTCAATGAATTCCTTCTACTTCGTTAAATCTCTAGTTAGCCAAAAGCTTATCTTCTAACTAGCCTTATCCTAATTCCAATCATTATCGCCCTTCAGGGTAAATATCACTTGATATGTACAATGTATAATTCAGTCACCTCGCTTGGTGCAGTTTCACAATCTGCTCATCTGTTCGTTACTGTAAATGACTTCGGACATAGACCTGCCGCGTTACCTCAGATGACAATGATTTATAAATCCCCAAATGATTGTGTTCAGATGAATAGCTTTAAGTATCGCATCATACTTGTAAGATACATATTCGATTTCAAAAGCTATTGTGATACCTTTTAAATAACTTCAAGATACCTTTTAGGTCAAGGTTAATTTAGGCCATCAGTACCCCATACTTGAGAGGCTGGCTAGTGAGTTGTAAAAACAAAAATATCTAGTAGAGTGTATTTCGTGAAAACGCTCATCAGTCTTCGATTTGTAGCGCGAAGGTTTTACTCCTTGTTCTGTCGAAGTGCAGCTTTTAAAGTAGTAAACAGAGCAGTTGGGAAATGTTAGCTATACAGTTAACACTTAAATTACTCAATAAATTCTGGTGCTTATGTCTAAAATTGAATACGTGATATAAAGCTATGAATGTATGAATGTAAGTACTGGATCATCAGTAAGCTGTTCAAAGGTTACGCGTTCAATTCATTCAGGTAAATAATCCAGACTAGTCCAGTTAGTTGTCTCAAGAAAATAACTTCTCATCAAATTTCGGTAACAATTTAATTTTGTAATCTTAAGTACTGACTTCTTCTTCATTTTACATCCAATCTGTGTTTATTATTTAAAATTACATTTCTCCACAATATATATATATATATATATATATATATATATATATATATATATATGCCAACGTATGAATAAACCACAATGATAGATGTCATGTACCTTATGTACATACTGACTAACTAACTAACTGACTGATAGACGTCATTTTATGTGTCAGTTATCTTGTTTATCCAGTGTATTATTTTACTGTTTAAAATGATTCTGTCGATCAGTTATTTTGTCGTTATATGTTCAGTTTGAAACCCCGACCGTAGCTGCCACCTTGACGTGGTGGTCGGGGTGCCTATCGTCATGACCCAACCGAGCTATACTGGCTGGAACATATGTTCCTGCAGGTCCTACCATGCCAGGCTGGTCGATTGGAGAACGATTAGACTAAAAGCAGCTACTCAAGATCTGGGGGCGAAGTCGTACTGCTGACTGACTGCAGAGGGGTGTGAGAGCAGTAAGGTGTTTCCCTCGGACAACCAGCATCTGCAGCGATTCTGCCTTCTTACAAGGAAGGGAGGGTTAGAAAAGGTCGACCCTAAAAATGTCACACCTCCCCTACCTCACGGATTTCCGTCTCCTTGGGTAAGGGTGCCTTTAAGAATGGAGCTAATCCTCAAAATACCTTTCATAAAAAGGCCGTGCGTGACCGGCCTCAAGCAGTTGTCCCTTGGACTCTGCTGTTACGCTCCCAGGTCTCCAAGACCAACACTAATCTATCTTCCTTTTCAGATTCGTTAAGAAACAACCTTCCACGGTGTGGGCAGCCGTGAAGTGACAACCGCCCTCATACCCGTAACAGCACGAGAGACCAATCTGGTGGAAATCAAATCCTTCCTACACCCACACATACCTCTCTTCTCACTTTGAAACTTTGGGTCAATTCAATTTTCCTGAGTAATTCATTCATATTACTCAGCCACACTATCTATTCGTATCAAATTCAAAACAATCAATCACACAAAAATTGTTGTTTTTGCATTATGACTGATTCACTTGTCATTTCTGTAAATCATACACTTTCTTGTAGCTCATAATAATAGAAAGCAGTAGTAAATGGAGGAAGCTTCACCTGGTTTCATTATTCTTTTTTTTTTTTTTAAATCTTTTTAACTAGCCGTTCAATGTTCAATGGACTATCATTTGGATAGACTTATTCCAATTATCATTGGTGTATCATTAGCATTAATGATTATCATTGCATTGATTGCATTCATTATTACAAGTCGACGCAATCGATATATCAGTGTGAACAATGGTGGCTATCAACAAATTTAAGTATATCAAAAGAGATCTGATTATATATATATATATATATATATATATATATATATATATATACTGCATGCACGATATCTGATTATCACTCACTACTAACACTGGTTTTGTTATGTATGACCTAACTTGGTCAATGATTTGTTTCTGTTTTGTTTCTGTTTTGTTTTTATATGCCATTTGAAAACAATCTGTTTAGAATGACTATCATATTTTTCTTTACACGTAATAATAATAATAATAATAATAATAATAATGTTTTCCGGTTCTCTGAAGAGAGAGAGAGAGTAGTTGATTTTTGAGATTTTATTTTTATTGTCCTTTGTCTCTACTCTTTGAAACTTGTGTGTTTTGTGTTTCCACTCCCGCTTCTCTCCCTCTCTCTCTCTCTCTCGCTCGCTCGCTCACTCATCTATGATGATATGTATGAACTTATCTCGGCTTTTTCTAGTTTTAAAATCTCTTTTTGTCATCAAAAACAAGAAAAATTAAACAACATCAATGCAATAAATGTGTACTGCTTCTTTTTTTTTTGACATTGAATCTCAGATAAATTAATGATTATATTTGTTTTGATTAATTTACTCAAAATAATCTTTATATATATATATATATATATATATATATATATATATATATATCATGTTTATTTTTGTTTAGACAAAGAGGAGAAAACACAAATTTACTAGTTGTTTATTAGTTTTCTACTATTGCGCGTTCCACAATTAGCTATAGAGTCTTGTTAAAAGTAAATTTTTTTCTCTCTCTAAAGGGATTCTTTCTTATTATGTTTTGTTTTAAGGAGTTTCTTAAAACTCCATGGGACAACCGAGTAAGCAATGCTGTCGTTAGGAAACGAGTACTAGGCAAGGATGGCATATCAATCGATGAAGTGGTGAAACTTCATCAGTTGAGGTGGTTGGGACATATGTTGCGTATGTCTAACCACCGACTGCCTCGACGAGCTTTGTTTTGTAGTGTAGGAGTAGGTTGGAAGAAAGTTAGGGGCGGCCAGACCAAAACATGACAGAAATCCATAAAGTCATTGACTAGTGGACTGAGCCATGTCGGTAATTGTTGACTACCTGGTTGGGGTCCGCGAGATGATAATAATCGATAGTTAGAGACCTTGAATGACATGGCTGAAAATCGTTCGCAATGGCGCCGGTGCATTTATTCTTTGTGGTCTCTTAAACCCTAATCTTCTGGATTCTTCAACACCTCTAGTTTCGACTCTCTAAACGTTTCTCACTGAATCATACTTCTTGAATAGTATCTTCTAACCCTAACCCCTCCGATTACTTCTAATTCCCTTACTACCTCTACTACTATTGGATTTGAATTGACAATTATATCTCTGTGATGATGTGGTATGGCAACATGAACTGATGTACTTACGTACGAAGTTCTACGTTGCATCTGACTGACTGACTTTAAGGAGTTTCTAAAGAA